ATATACTGGACAATACACAATTACGAACGTTTTCCATAAAGCATCAAGTGCAAGTATATCAAATGTATTATGACATTAAAATTATAACACATATGACGAGTGAAAATACTAAATATACATCCCAATTTTTTAAAATTTAAAACACCACCAATAATATATTTCGTACTTTAAGACAAGTGCCATTATATTATGTATAACCTTATACATAAAGATGTTTAGGTACTTTTACATATAAATATGCAACGCACAAAGCTAAAATAGCAATTTTATTCTAATGTTTAGTGCGAAACTATACTTATGACTTATAAGTGATAAGTAGCTCTAAATATTTGTTGTGTGGACGTGTGGTTAATCAATTGATATATATCTATATAATATAATTACATTTATATATTATATTATCAAATAGATTTATTCTCGTATATTATGGTAATTATACAAAAAGTGAGTAAAAATAATTTGACGCTAGACATGTGACACATTTGTGTGTGGCGAATTCCAAGCTAAATTTTGATTTTTTTGTGTTTTTTAACATACGACAATTTTCTTCATCCGAACCGTCCTGACAGTTTTTTATTCTGTTGCAATGTAAGGATTTGTGGATACAAAACGATGTAAGATGACATTTGAATTGTTCAGCAGTACATTCTGTGATGATAAAATAAATTTTAGATAAATCAGTTAAAGTAATGCTCAGCTATCTATTTATATAGGTGTAGGTATAGGGGTTTGCATATTACCTAATGATAACTTAATGAAAAGATAAACATAACATTGTTTTACTACTGTTTTAAAGACATTAAACATTTAATTATTTAATTAATACCACATATTTAAAATTAATTAAATTAAATTCTAATACACTTGATACTTATATAGTTATATATAAACTATATATACATCTAATAGGTACGTACTAATTTCATTAAATTAACTAAGTTATATAAAAGTGCATTATCATTATTAATGATGTTGATGTAAACATTTTTGTTTTATATAYTCATATCCTTACAATTATAATAAATCTTAAAATTTCAGAAAAGCTATAGATATCAAAAAAATGATGGTCTATAACTTTCAAACAGTTTCAAATGTTTTAGATATAGGTGCCTACATTATTTATTTGTTAAGATTAAAATGTTTTCAAAAAATTGAAACATATTACAGTTAATATTAAAAATATTATTGTGATATAGTTCGCTGTTTAAATRTTAGGTTTAACAAAATTGTATACAAAATAGTTTTTTATTCAAGTTGGAGTTTGAATATTTGATTAGATTTTTCTTTTAATATTTGTACATACATTTATGTACCTACATTTATCATGTATAATGTATATAATATAGGTTAAACATATAATATATGTATATAATATATATGCATGCACACGTACCTACTTAAATTTTGTACTCAATAAAATGAAATTTATACGGGTATACTATTATACATTATTGATGGACATGATKGGCTTTTATAAGAGTCGAATAATTTAGTACCTATTAAGATGAACCTGCATGTATAAA